TTGTGAGGGAAACAGTAAGGGTCAGACTGTCTGGGTTTGACTCTCATTCTGGTTTTCGCCACGGGACCTTGGGGAAGTCATTTAGCTTCATCAGTAAAACTGGGCTGAAAAACTAGACAAAGCATTGTTTAAAGATTCAAACCGCACCCTCCTCCCCCCCAAAACAAACAAAACCCAAGCCACTGCCATGAAGACAGTTCTGACTCATAGCAACCCCAATGGACACGGGAGAAGTACCCCCATAGGGTTTCCAGAGCTGGAATCTTTAGAGTCCTGTTGTAGTGCTACAGGATAAGCAATTGACTGTCAACTACAAGGTCACTGGTTCAAACCCACCAGCTGTTCCTCAGAAACCCTATATACAGGGTCACTATGAGTCAGAACTCACTCAACAACAATCCTTATGGAAATGAGACCTGGTGGCGCAGTGGGTTAAGCATCAGGTTGCTAACCACAATGTCAGTAGTTCAAACCCACCAGCAAGAGTCTCAGCAACCCTATAGGATCCTATAGGGTCACTAAGAGTTGGAATGGCTTCAGAGCAGTAGATTTTATACAGCTATACATGAGGAGTCCTGGTAGCACAGGTTAAATGTTGGGCTGCTAATCACAATGTCAGTGGTTCAGACCACCAGCTGCTTCACACTAGAACTCTGAAGTGATCTGCTCCCATAAAGATTTACAGTCTCGGAAACACTAAGGAGCTGTTCTCTCTGTCCCATAGGGTTGCTATGAGCAGCAATCCACTCGGTGGCAGTGGGTTCATCTTTATGCAAGCAGACTGTCACATCTTTCTCCTGGGTTCAAACCACCAACCTTTTGGTGACCAGTTGAGCACTTAATGATTGCACCACTAGGGTTCCTTATTTCACTTCCACCAAACCCAAATTCCTGAATGAAATGCTTGCCCTCCCTTTTAGCTTTGCCTCTCCAGCTTTTAACTTCTCATTGATGGCCAGTCTTCCAGGCGGCCTTCCTCTCCCCTGGGCTCAGAGCTAATGGCACTCTTCGTTGTGTGTCTGCTCTGCAGATCTTGGATTCCCTCCCTCATGGGTACATCCACCTCTTCTCAGAAAGGCAGAGACTGTGTCATATCTGTCACCAGTATCAAGTTCATGACAAGTACTCATTCGGTGTCAGCTGAATTGAAATCCATGAATCCCATTTGGTACAAGTTCAACCGGAACATTTGCAAACTGATAGCACTGCACATATACAAGTCTAGTACTGCTGAAGTTCAAAGCCTGGGGTAGAGAGCCTAGCTCCGAAACCTTCCTCTTTAGATTAAAATTCAAAATGGCTTGCTCCTTGCCACACTCTCTTTGAACATCTTGGAGATTGCTCCTACTTTGTGTTTTTTCCCCAGTCATTCTGCTCAACAACTGTGTGATAAGTGCTCCGATCTTATTCTTTCTATTACAACAGTCTCAGATGAGCAGGATCTCTGGCTGTTTTTCCAAGTTAAAGTGAATAAAAAGCTTCCATCCATGGAAATTTATGAACTAGGTTAATAGTTATAACTGTCCATTTCATTTGTCTACTCCAGGTGACTAGCACATTTCATACATTTCTTAATTGTGTTTAATAAGGCAGCAAGGTGTCGTGTTTTAAAAATAAAAAGCTCTAGATTAGGAGTTGAGAGCCCCTGGGTTGCAGTGTGAGTCTGTCAGTAACTTGCACATCACATCAGTTCTCTTAGCCTGGCTTCTGAGGGGGTTCGCTGGTTTTAAGAATTGTTAAGATTTCCATGAAGCAGTACCAGGAGTTCTGAGAAATTAAATATGCTCATGGTAGCAACATGCCTACTAATGGGCTTCTAGCCTTTATTCTAACAATTCACAGACGGTAGAGCTAACTTCTATTATGAATGTTGTTGTTACTGTTGTTAAATGCCATCGGGTTTCCAAGGAGCGACTAGTGGGTTTGAACCACCAACCTTGTGGCTCAAACTGACCTTGCAGTCCAGCGCATTATCCTGCAGCACCAAATGTAACAGAAAATTTATAAGCTTCTGTAAAGACAGAAAATAACTTCAAGAGAATGTTATTCTCCCGGAGTTTAGAAACAAACTCTAGTTTAATAAGCAGAAGGCCTCCACATTACAGTTGGGCATTAGTTCATCCAAGCAGATGTCTTTCTTTGAAGACAAAATGCCCATTATTACACTAGTTAGAAAGTGAGCCTGTTTCCTCATACGGAAAAAATAATAATAATACCTAACTCATAGTGTTGTTGCCAGATTTCACTTGACTATCAGTTCTCTGGTAGCGTAGTGGTTACGAATCGGGCTGCGAACCATAAGGTCAGCGGTTCAAAACTACCAGCCGCTCCGCGGGAGAAAGATGAGGCTTTCTACTCCCGTAAAGATTTACACCCTCGGAAACCCTGTACAGGGTCGCTATGGGTCGGAACCGACTCGAAGGCACTTAACAACTTAACATCAGTTAGAAGAGTGCTTGGAATAAGAATAAGCATGATATGGGTGTTTACCATTATTAGTAATATTTGCTGTATGTGTGTGTGTGTGTGTATGTGTGGAGGGGGTTGCCATTATCATCATCTCAAGCATTTAAAACTCTGGAGGGAAAAACAGTTTTTTTCCCAGGGTGATAAAAGCATGTTCCTCTACAGATAAACAAGGCTGGCAGTAAACCTAGGACAGAACAATTGCACTTGCAGGAAATACAAAAAACAAAAGCTAATGGCCCATCATTGGTCTTCTGCAAGTTCCTTCACATCTTCTCTTAGCTTTCTTGGTTTTCAGTTTCCTTGTAATTCATCTGGAGACAAAGCTACTTGACTCAAAAGGCAATGAGGGTAATTAGACTGCTTTTCAAACTATTTTGGTATCTCCTTTACAGCAACAATAATGAAAACATCTGTTTCTTTAAGAAAGGTAATGCTTCTCATAGGGACACACTTAGATATGCAAACCCTTCACCAGTGCAACTCACCATGAGTAATGCAAATGATTTCTCAGAAACACCACATCTCACCCTACCTGGAGGATTTACTCACGGGTCCAAGGTAAAGGTAGACAATGACTCTGAGCAAAGGCTCCAACACTAGAGTGGGTCACTAGTCAAAGCAAAGGAAGTACTGTTGTGTTCCCATTTTCATTGTTTCGTTCTAGCATTTTATAATAAGAAATACACTATTACACCATTAATTTAGAAACCCATGACTGGCATGCAGCAGGTATTTAGATGTTTACTGCTGAAACAAATGGATGGGTGGATGAATGGATGAGTGTCTAAAGACAGAAGAGCAGTATGATTACTGACATTTCAGAGAGGAGGGGATGGGTACCCCAAAGGGTTGGGCTTGTGTTCCAACACAAGTGACAGGAAGGTGGGTTTTTAATTTGCTAGTGAGTCCTCAGCCTGTTTCCAGATCACTGACTTTACTTCCTGTTTCCTTTCTGACATTGCAGAGATATTGACAACACATATACCACTGAAGCAGTAAGAACACGGGCTCTGGAGCCAGGAGACCTGGGTTCTTGGTCCTGACTCTTGATATTTCCTGTCTGGAGACACTGCTGTTGCTGTTCAGTGCTGTCATGTTGGTTCTGACTCATAGTGACCCTGTATAGACAGGGTTTCCAAGGAGCAGCTGGTGGGTTTGAACCACCAACCTTTCAGTTAGCAGTCCAATGCTTATCTTACAGCGCTACACCAGAACTCGACTGGAGACATTATGGGATAATAGTAGCATTTGCTTCATGGAATGGTAAAGATTCACTGAAATCGTCAACCAGGGGGCTTCAAAAGTTTATAGAAAAATAGAATGAAACTATATGGAATTATCTTAAGTACCAGTAAGTACTTGGTAGATGTTAACTTATATCATTTATTTTTATTAAAAGAAGTTCTGAATTCCAAAATTTTCAATGTCCTTAAAAAAGAAAGGCATTATCTGTAAAGCATATGTTTCAGATTTTTTTAAAAAGTTAGCCTTGGCAACACAATGATCCCAGTCTGGATCTTCTACTAGGGGAGAAATACCGCACAGGACATTACTGATATGTTGGTATCACTGGGTCAGTACTGCCTGCATTTCAACACTCAATTCACTGAAGTGAATTCCTAAACGCACTGTGGTTACGTGTCAAATGGCATACTTGGGAGCAAGTGCACCTACTCTCTTGGCCCGGCATGTTCTTTTCCCTGGTTGCCATGT